ACAGATACAAAATATTTATTAAAAATACTACTCATCTCTTCATCACTATCCGTTATTTGACCTGTCTCAGTTTTTAATGGACCTATCCTTTCCCTAGTCTTAGTACGATATAACTGAAAAAACCCTTTAGGATTTGTCTTTGCTTGCCCTGCTATGCGAACTTCATAGTTTCTTTTTGCTTTCCTAATCTCTTTTTTAACATTTCTAACCAGTTGTACGAATTCCTGTTCTAAAGTGACCTCCCCATTTTTAATCCTTTTGTACCAAGCTCTCTTTTTACCTATAAGGTTCTTCAGATCCTTTGTTATCCACTTTGGGTCATTAGTATTCGATCTATTCAATTTGTATGGTATACTACGTTCCTGTGCTTTGTTTAGAATAGTCTTAAATAAGTTATATATTAAATCCACATCGAAATCCCCATTTAAGTCACCTATCGCTGGGTTCATGTCTCGCTCCAAGACCGGCCCACACCCCATACCCAAGACTTTCCAATCTATTTGATCCAAAAAATTTCTTAGGCTATTAAAATCAGCTTTTCGAAAATCTGGCACTTTAACAGAATTTTCTCCTACAGGTCTATTCCATTCTATGCTAAATCTGATTACTTTGTGATCACTGTTCCCTAGCTCACCCCCTATTTCGATGTCATTAATTTGTGTTTCCCTGTTAGTTAACACTAAATCTAAAATATTATTTTCCCGTGTTGGTTCCTAATGTGTTGCGTAAGAAAGCAATCGTCAATTAATTCTAGAAAATCTTCTGCTTCACTATTCCCTGTTTTGTTCAACCAGTTTATTCCACTAAAATTAAAGTCACCCATGACATAAATACTGTTAGATCTAGATGCTCTAGATATTTCATCCCATAGATGCTTTGCTTCCATTCTGTCTAAATTTGGTGGCCTATATATACTCCTATTATAATATTATTTGCTTTTCGTTTAATTCTATCCAAATAGTTTGTGTGTGGGGCTCAGTTTTGATTCCCTCTTTGAGACTACATTTCAAATTGTCCCTAACATATATGGCTACTCCACCTCCCTCGTCTAATATATCTATCTGTGTGAAATAGTTTAAATCCATTTATTTGATATTCAGCTAATAGTTCTCTATTTTCTACATTCATCCCCCTTGGAGTTCAGCCTGTGTTGAAGAGACATTGTCAGTTAAGCGGCGTCCAATAACAGTATCTACACGTGCCGATGTCAGTGTACTCCCTGATCAAGACTCCACATCCTGCCTTCCCATCCCGATACACTGACCCATCACAATATATCATGTAGAGTGTTTTCCGTAGGCCGTTTTCTAATATTACAATCATATGTTGCCCTCAGCTCTCCTATCTCATACATACTTTTTTTCTTTTGCAAGGGAGTAATTACTACATCTACATTACAATCCTCCCATGGTGGTGTGACTTTTCTCTTGGACACAGCAATACATTCTGGAATAACTTCATACTTCATAACATTAGAACATAAGGCACTCATGTATGCTTTCTTGTTATACTTTATAATACATTGTTCATTACTTCCCACCTTTTGAACCGAGAGGATTAATTCATTAGCTCCCCCACCTCTCATTAATCTAATGCCAGAGGCTACATTTATCTATGAAATTCTATCCCCAATACTCTGCAGATTCAACTCCATCCTCATTATCTCAATCATAGCATTTGTTGGGCATCCTAAGATAATTCTCATGGCTTTATTTTGTACCTTCTCCAACTTGCCCATCTTACCTTTACCAAAACAAGAAATGACAGGCGCAGCATAACCAATAAGAGATCTTACAGTACTCAAGTATATCATTCGTAGCACAGGGACTCCCACTCCCTTTCCACAGCATGCCAAGGCCTTCAGAGGTTGTAATCTCTTCCGACATTGACCCAACAGTCTGTTCATCTCAGCTTCCAAACTCTCATGGGTATATCCAACATATATGCCTAAATATTTATATTAACTATAATTTTACCGTTTATTTTCAATATAATGGGCCTCCGACTTCTACATTCAAACTTAGTTTTTGTTTTCATTAACCACCAATCCCATATGGTGACACAAGGTTTCCGAAATTGTCCAACACTGTTTGAACCTTTGAAATATCTTTGCCCTGAAACAAAATATCATCGGCATATATGATCGGAGTTACCCCATTTGAGTATCTCTCAGATGCTATCTTATTCATTAGTACATTAAACAGGGTGGGACTCAACACTCCTCCCTGAGCCTTCCTTTCCTGAACTATAAGAACATAAGAACAAAGGCAACTGCAGAAGGCCTGTTGGCCCATACGAGGCAGCTCCTATCTATAACCACCCAACCCAATCCCACTCATATACATGTCCAACCCATGCTTGAACAATCGAGGGACCCCACCTCCACCACGTTACGCGGTAATTGGTTCCACAAATCAACAACCCTATTACTGAACCAGTATTTACCCAAGTCTTTCCTAAATCTAAATTTATCCAATTTATCCCATTGTTTCGTGTTCTGTCTTGTGTTGATACTTTTAATACCCTATTAATATCCCCCTGTTATGTCCATTCATCCACTTGTAAACCTCTATCATGTCACCCCTAACTCTTCGCCTTCCAGTGAATGCAATTTAAGCTTTGTTAATCTTTCTTCATATGAAAGATTTCTAATTTGGGGAATTAACTTAGTCATCCTACGCTGGACACGTTCAAGTGAATTTATATCCATTCTATAATATGGCGACCAAAAACTGAACTGCATAATCTAAATGGGGCCTAACCAGAGCAAGATATAGCTGAAGAACCACACCAGGTGTCTTGTTACTAACGCTGCGATTAATAAATCCAAGTGTCCGATTTGCCTTATTACGAACATTTATGCATTGATCCTTTTGTTTTAAATTCTTACTAATCATAACTCCCAGATCCCTTTCGCAATCCGACTTCGCAATCTCAACACCATCTAGCTCGTATCTTGTAACCTATCATCATTACCTAGCCTCAGAACTTTACATTTATCAGCATTAAACTGCATCTGCCAATCTTTTGACCATTTCAAAACTTATTTAGATCAACTTGAAGATTGATTGATTGATGAAGATTAAGCCACCCAAGAGGTGGCACGGGCATGAATAGCCCGTAAGTGGTGGCCTTTTGAGCCATTACCAGTATCAAGAGCTGATACTGGAGATCTGTGGGGTGCGACTGCACCCTGCGTGACAGGAGGTGTCACCCGTCGAACTTGAAGTGATAGTGAGTCTTCATCCGTATTAATTTCCCTGCCGATTTTCGTATCATCGGCAAATTTGCAAATGTTGCTACTCAAACCTGAATCTAAATCATTTATATATATTATAACACAACAGAGGTCCCAGGACAGAGCCCGAGGCACCCCACTTACAACATTTTCCCACTCTGACTTGACTCCATTTATACTAACTCTCTGTTTCCTTTGGTATAGCCATGCCCTAATCCAGCTTAATATAGCACCCCCATACCACGAGCCTCTATCTTTTTAATCAGTCTTTCATATATGGTGAAGACAATCCCGTAACCAGCGCAATAATCTCCCTTTAACACCAAGACCAGCTAGCTGATATAAGATAACCTGTGTTAACACCAAGACCAGCTAGCTCATATACGATAACCTGTGTTAACACCAAGACCAGCTAGCTGATATAAGATAACCTCTGCGTTAACACCAAGACCAGCTAGCTGATATAAGATAACCTCTGCGTTAACACCAAGACCAGCTAGCTGATATAAGATAACCTCTGTGTTAACACCAAGACCAGCTAGCTGATATAAGATAACCTGTGTTAACACCAAGACCAGCTAGCTCATATAAGATAACCTGTGTTAACACCAAGACCAGCTAGCTCATATAAGATAACCTGTGTTAACACCAAGACCAGCTAGCTGATATAAGATACCTGTGTTAACACCAAGACCAGCTAGCTGATATAAGATAACCTGTGTTAACACCAAGACCAGCTAGCTCATATACGATAACCTGTGTTAACACCAAGACCAGCTAGCTCATATAAGATAACCTGTGTTAACACCAAGACCAGCTAGCTGATATAAGATAACCTCGCTGTTGGCTTTATCAAAAGCTTCTTGTAAATCAATAAATAATTCTATAATAATCATTATCATTAGCTAAACATTAATAATATAGTGAGAGGCACTTTGTCCTCTGAGGAACCCCAACAAATTACTAGACAGCTGATCACCTATTATATATAAAAGTCTATTTAAAATTATCCTCCATCTACCATTATCCATGGTACAATTATCCATACCATTATACCATGTATAATTATCCATGTACCTATGTATACAGGTAACCCCTGACTAACTTGGACGTTAGACAGCTGTAATGGGCTGCTTCCTGGGGGGGGGGATGTAGACTGACGTTGAGAGGCGGGACCAAAGAGCCAGAGTTCAACCCCCGCTAGCACAACCAGGTGAACACAAGTGTGGTGGTAAACTAGTGTGGTGGCCACCACCCCCCTAGTGTGGTGGCCACCACCCCACTAGTGAGAGACGATGCTCACACACACCACACGAAATTAAAATATAGGACTCTGCCACACTATATAGGACTCTGCCACACTATATAGGACTCTGCCACACTATATAGGACTCTGCCACACTATACAGGACTCTGCCACACTATATAGGACTCGGCCACACTATATAGGACTCTGCCACACTATACAGGACTCGGCCACACTATGCCACACACTATATAGGACTCTGCCACACTATATAGGACTCTGCCACACTATATAGGACTCGGCCACACTATATAGACTCGGCCACACTATATATCACAAGCCACACTATAAATCACCGTATAAGCCTTCCTTGGAGGCAGTGGTCACACCGCTGGAGAATAATTGCTGCTTGGTCAGTGAACTACTGCACTGGCCTTGATAACCCTCCCGTGGCCGACAGGCCTCAAGTCCAACACCAAACGTAAACAAGTCCAAAAAACAGTAGGTTGGACTTACCACTATTTTCTCTGTCGTTGGCAACAGTGTATTCCATTCCTCTCTGGTCGGGTGGTTTTGGGTAAACTGTTCCGGTGTAAACTTGTGGAGTAAACTAGACACTCACGGGGGATCCCCAAGACTTGGTGTTTACAAGGCAGTTTACGGTAGAGCGGTACACTCACACACGGAGGAGGAGAAGGAGGTGCGTGCGTCCCCGTCGACGGCTGCCAGCGTACTGAGGGGGTCTGGCCTCAGCTGGTGTTTATATCCGGCTCTCAACACCTGCCCCCATCCCACACCTGGCTCCCTGTACCAGGTGTGGCCACACCCGTCCCACACCTGGCTCCCTGTACCAGGTGTGGCCACACCCGCCCCCGTCCCACACCTGGCTCCCTGTACCAGGTGTGGCCACACCCGCCCCCGTCCCACACCTGGCTCCCTGTACCAGGTGTGGCCACACCCGCCCCCGTCCCACACCTGGCTCCCTGTACCAGGTGTGGCCACACCCGCCCCCGTCCCACACCTGGCTCCCTGTACCAGGTGTGGCCACACCCGCCCCCGTCCCACACCTGGCTCCCTGTACCAGGTGTGGCCACACCCGCCCCCGTCCCACACCTGGCTCCCTGTACCAGGTGTGGCCACACCGGCCCCCGTCTCACACCTGGCTCCCTGTACCAGGTGTGGCCACACCGGCCCCCGTCCCACACCTGGCTCCCTGTACCAGGTGTGGCCACACCCGCCCCCGTCCCACACCTGGCTCCCTGTACCAGGTGTGGCCACACCCGCCCCCGTCCCACACCTGGCTCCCTGTACCAGTGTGTGGCCACACCCGCCCCCGTCCCACACCTGGCTCCCTGTACCAGGTGTGGCCACACCCGCCCCCGTCCCACACCTGGCTCCCTGTACCAGGTGTGGCCACACCCGCCCCCGTCCCACACCTGGCTCCCTGTACCAGGTGTGGCCACACCCGCCCCGTCCCACACCTGGCTCCCTGTACCAGGTGTGGCCACACCCGCCCCCGTCCCACACCTGGCTCCCTGTACCAGGTGTGGCCACACCCGCCCCCGTCCCACCACCTGGCTCCCTGTACCAGGTGTGGCCACACCCGCCCCCGTCCCACACCTGGCTCCCTGTACCAGGTGTGGCCACACCCGCCCCCGGGTGTGGCCACACCCGCCCCCCGTCCCACACCTGGCTCCCTGTACCAGGTGTGGCCACACCCGCCCCCCGTCCCACACCTGGCTCCCTGTACCAGGTGTGGCCACACCCGCCCCCGTCCCACACACTGGCTCCCTGTACCAGGTGTGGCCACACCCGCCCCCGTCCCACACCTGGCTCCCTGTACCAGGTGTGGCCACACCCGCCCCCGTCCCACACCTGGCTCCCTGTACCAGGTGTGGCCACACCCGCCCCCGTCCCCACACCTGGCCCCCTGTACCAGGTGTGGCCACACGGCCTCCCCGTCCCACACCTGGCTCCCTGTACCAGGTGTGGCCACACCGCCCCCGTCCCACACCTGGCTCCCTGTACCAGGTGTGGCCACACCGCCCCCCATCCCACACCTGCTCCCTGTACCAGTTGGCCACACCGGCCCCCCATCCCACACCTGGCTCCCTGTACCAGGTGTGGCCACACGGCCCCATCCCCACACCTGGCTCCTGTACCAGGTGGGCCACACCCCCCCCGTCCCACACCTGGCTCCCTGTACCAGGTGTGGCCACACCCGCCCCCGTCCCACACCTGGCTCCCTGTACCAGGTGTGGCCACACCCGCCCCCGTCCCACACCTGGCTCCCTGTACCAGGTGTGGCCACACCCGCCCCCGTCCCACACCTGGCTCCCTGTACCAGGTGTGGCCACACCCGCCCCCGTCCCACACCTGGCTCCCTGTACCAGGTGTGGCCACACCCGCCCCCGACCTGGCTCCCTGTACCAGGTGTGGCCATACCCGTCCCACACCTGGCTCTCTGTACCAGGTGTGGCCACACCCGCCCCCCACACCTCAGCGAGCACTCAAGCGCCTTGATAACACTACCGGATTTATATGTATAATTGTTTAGATTAATAGATAGAATAGGACAAAAATGTTGATTCCCGAGAGACAAGAGAGCAAAAAGTGATATCATTTGACTCATTCATCTATAGAGAGGTCTGGCGGCGGCGGTAATCAATACACTTGACCTTGAGTTACCCACCACCTCCACACCGCTTTCAACGGCGCAGTTCCACATATATCGCACTTTATAATTAACTAATCTAGCACAAACGGCAGATTAAAATAGTGTGTAACTCTTAGTAAGATTAACAGTAAGGTCACGTCAATGGACATTAACAAAAGTGCCGAGCATCATATGAAAACGGTGTTGGTGGGCGGTGATTGGCTGGCGGGGCAACACGACTCCACGAGGACGGGCTGTGATGGCCAGCGCGAGCCGCGCCCCTGCCGCCACATGGCGCCCACAGAAAACGTGCGCGGCCATGGAGGCCACGTGAGGGGTAACCTTGGTGTTGTCCTCTCGACTTGCTCTATGTCCTGCTGCTGTGTGGCTGTGTCTGGTCTTGGCCTCAAGGCCCACCACCCGCCCCACCGGTATACCGCCGGGGTATACCACCAGGGTATACCCGTCCGGTATACTTCACTATTCTCTGTAAATATCAGTCATTCTCTGTCAAATGAGTCAGTCATGGTTCAAGTCAGGGTGAACTAGCTATAATCCACCCCCGACTGTGTTAATGTGTAATATATGGGTCTGTGGAAGGTCTCCCTCGGGTGGGTGGCGGGAGGTCGGGGACCACCGCTCGGTACACACACACACACACACACACACACACACACACATCAACACATTGATCCAAGAGTCAATGCTCGATCCTGCAAGCACATATGCTTGCTGTGAAACGCTGTGCGTGCTAGTGGCTTTACAAGACTGTAATTACCATATTTGTATCCTCACATTCCTTATGTACATTCTTGTATATGCATAAATAAATAAATAAATAAATAAATATAGGTGAGTACACACACACACACACACACACACACACACACACACACACACACACCACACACACACACACACACACACACACACACACACACACACACGCACACGCGCACGCGCACGCACACGCATTACGCACGCCAACCAAAGAGCCAAAGCTCAACCCCCGCAAGCACAATTAGGTGAGTACGCGCGCGCGCGCACACACACGCGCGCGCACACACACGCACACACACACACACAACCTCTCTCTGTACCCTCCCGCACTAACCCACCCCCACACACCCTCTCCATCCCCCTCCCTCACTTCCACCTTCCACCTCTCCCCATATACTCACACACCTCCTCTCTCTCTCTCTCTCTCTCTCCCCCCCCTCCCCCTCTCTCTCCCCCCCTCCCCCCCCCCTCTCTCTCTCTCTCTCTCTCTCTCTCTCTCTCTCTCTCTCTCTCTCTCTCTCTCTCTCTCTCTCTCTCTCTCACACACACACTCATAGGAAATCATGGAAGGGAGACGAACTCTGATTGCCAAACGCAGGACATTCACAACTGGAACACAGAGGATGGGATGGAACAGGAAGCCTGGATGAAGGAAGTACTCCAGCAAATGCAGAATGAATTCAGTGAAGGACTGAGGGTAATGAGGGAGACAGTAGCCAACCTGCAAGATGATTTAAGGGCAGCAAAGGAGGAGATAAGATACCTAAAGGAGACTCTTCCACAATACCAGGCACAAACCGTACCCCAGGGAGATGGAATGCTACTGTGGAGGGGACCACCACAACCCAGCTCTCATTTGCTGAAATGCTTAAAAAGAGCCCTGAAGCTAGGTCTGCAGTTAAGGAAGTTGCCATGGAAGTGGCTTCCTCTCAGGAAGCAGCTAGATGTACTAGCCGGCTGATAGAGAGAAATAGAGCAGTAGTAGTAGCAGCATTAAGGAGCAAACAGGGACCAGACCAAAGGAGCGGAGAGACAAGGACAAAAACATGATTAAAGAGATCCTTAAAGAGGTAAGGATGGAGGGAGCTGAGCGAAATGTTGAAAAGGTTTTCAGGCTTGGAAAGTACAACAAGGACAGAGACTGAATGATAAAGGTGGTTTTCATGAGCGAAATCGCGAAAGAGGAACTGCTAGCAAGGAAGTGTTGTCTAAAAGGTGTAGAGAAGTTCAAGGGATATGCAGAGGGATATGACAAGGGAAGAGAGAATACGGACAGCAGACGCGAGGAAGGAGCGCAGGGAGAGAGAAGGAAATCAGAGTACCACAACCCAGAACCCTACAATCCCAGAGGAAAGTGGAGAACCCTCCTCAAACAGTGCAACAGCCACAGGGATTGGGGCACCACCCCCACATTCTACCCAACAGACACCCAACCTGCCCCATCCCCTGTCAGCCCCCCTCTAAGTACCCACCTAGGGCACCCTCCCCCCACCCACCCCCTTCCCCCCACTCACCCCCCTTCTCCCCCTCACCCCTCTCCCCAGGACCTCCCTTCTCCCCCATCCCCCATGCCCTCCCTTCTCCCACATGCCTTCCCGTCTCTCCCACCCCCATGCCCTCCCTACCCCCCCCCCCCACCTCTTTAGCCCCCAACTCTCCCCCCACCCCACCTAAGTCTTCCCCTCTCCCCCACTCCCCTAAACCCCCCCCCCCCTCTTCCTCACCCACCTCAGCCCTCCCTTTTCCCCCCCACGCCCCCCGAGCCCTCCACCCTTTTCTCTCCCCCCAAGCCCCCCCATCTCCCCTATCCCCCACAGCCTCTCCTCTCCCCATGCTTCCCCAACCCTCCCTCTCTTACCCACCCCCTGTACCCTCCCCCTCTTATCCACCCCCTGTACCCTCTCCCTCTTATCCACCCCCTGTACCCTCCTCCTCTCCCCCACCACCCCAAGCCCGCCCTCCCTCCACCAATCCCCCCGTGCCAGGTCCCCCAGCTCCCACTCACCCCCAGATCCCAAAGGTCCCCCCAGAAAAGAAGCAGAAGAGAGTCAGTTTCAGGGTGATGTACTCGAACATAGATGGGATCACACGCAAGACAAGTGAACTAAGGGAAAGAGCACAAGAAGTTAACCCAGATGTAATCAGACTCACTGAAACAAACTCTCTGGAATCATAACGAATGCCGTGTTTCCCCAGGAGTATACAGTAATAAGGAAAGAGAGGGAAGGTAGGGAAGGAGGCGGAGTGGCCCTACTCATGAGAAGGGAATGGAGTTTTAAGGAGATGGCCATCCCGGGCTGTGAGGAGT